GTAGCTACGATTTTTTTTCGCAAAACGAAAGACCAAAGTCTCCTGATTAAACCGACATACGACACGTTACCCGATCGCATTTTTTAAACTCGGCAGATTAGAAAATTCAAAGATATGCAGATATTTTTAGTTTGACGTTTCAATTTTGAATTTCCCCTCCAGATCCCCGGATTCCTGTTAGGCGGGGTAATGTAGGTATGATCGTATTACGAAAGCGAGCGCGTGCGAGCGGAACGTCAAAAACGTGCCATTTTCGGCTTTATGTTGGTCGCTTCATCGAATATAGGATCACGCCAAATAGAATTGTCCTTTTTTGCGCGTGAAAATCAACATTTTCGAAAAGATTCAAAATTTCTATATTCCATTGTCTAAACGGACCGGACTAGAGCCATTAAAATCGGATGAATCTAGTAGTTTTTTATTTTTACAGATTGCGATGTCTACCGCCAAAGGCTGCAATTATTCTTTGACGTTCATCAATTTATTGAAATCATCATCGGTTTATAAATACTATAAAAATATGATTGTAAGCCCCTATTCATGTTATAATTTTACAATATGGCATAAAGCTCCGCTTTTCTAACCGATTGATATAAAGCGTATGTCTGATTGCATCACCTCCGATTTCTAACCTACAATGTATGAATGTAAACATTATCGAAATCTTAATAATGAGGCTCCCGTTAATAAGGATTAATTAGAAGCTTAGAACAAGCAATCGCAGCTACAAATAGTGAAAGTGTTGTGTGAAGTGTTTACAGTTTATGTGTTTCTATTGCAAACGTAAGTAGTCAGTCACTTCTATGAAGTTCAGTAAGAGTTCAGTCTTGACCCTCAGTTCAGACCTATTAGCTGGCTAACTGTGGCACATATTATCAAGCAGATGAAGGAATATGCAAAGCGCTGAAAAATAGCATTGATAATCATATCTACTACCAAAGTTTTCAAAATTACTAAGACTTTCACAGCCACTGCAGTTGTTTATTTTGATCTCAATGCAGAATGTATGTACTTCGATTTAGAATGTAGCTGCTTTAAGGACTTGTCACTTCCAAGACTTGTCAAAACAACAGACACCATTACTTGTCAAAAAACTATAGCACTTGATGATTTCAAATTTCTATTCTGTTTTTAAAGATGTTATTATTATATGTCTAATTTCAAGGATACTCACATCTGTCCTGTTTCTAAGACTGATCTTAATCATAGATTACAGAAAAATTCATTATTGAATCAGAGGAAACAGATTACAAAATTTGATTTTCAAGCGATACTATTACTTACTGTCCAACAACTATAGTACTTAATAATTTCAAGCTTCTGGTCTAATTTTTTGAGATGTTATTATTATATGTCATGTTTCTAATTGATTGATCATAATCATACAACATTAAAAAAAATAGAGGAAATTTTATTTTAAAGCGATAGCACATTTTTCTCCAGATCATAAAGCGAGCATTGTTCATCTGCTTCTGTTGAATTTTTCCCAAACGAAGAACTTTACCACCAACAAACTCATAAATATTGTAAAAACCTTGTAGTAGTAGTATCTCACCTGAGTAGTATGTATAAATGGAAAATAAGTAAACAAACTTGTCATCTATCCCTTCGATTGGCAAATATTATCAAGCAGATGAAGGAACATGCAAAGCGCTGCAAAATAACATTGATGATCATATCTTCTACCAAACTGTTACTGACAGATTGTGCAATTATTCTTTCACGTTTAGCAGTTCATCAGCTTAAATACGATAAATATCATTGAAAGACGTTATTAATGCCAAAGATCAATTCCTGAGGAGAGCAGAAATCCACAACATAGCAAGACTTTGTACTTATAGCAGTGTACAGTAGTGTATAGTATTGTCTAGTGACACCCGGTGCCGAGTGTTTACAATTTTTCGGTTCAGACGAAGTGCCTCAGTGTATATCTATCGTGATAACGTATTTCATCTTTTAAGAAGATCGTGAGGTATCCTTATTAGGGAGATATTGCAAACATCTGCCTTATTAGTGCAGACCTTATTTTGACATCTACGCATGCGCACATACAATTCTGTATCTATGAGGAATTAATAGGGATAAGGCACGTCCTTATTTAAGCTATAATAGGGGGAGCTTATTTAGGCGTTCTTATGTCACGACGATTCACGATCTAAGCAAATCGGGTGTCGTCGCAAGCCTATTTAACCTATAAATTTGTACTCTCAAAATTCAACGATTGCTGAAGCGTTTTGGTAACTATGAATATGGATAAAAAGAGAATAAGGTTCACGTATGACGACGAAATGATTTTGCTGCGTGAATTTATTGCACAAAACCCTATCCGTTCTCCTGAGAAGTGGGACTCAATCTTACAGAACTTGCGAGAGCTTACGGGAAAAGAATTTATTTTGAGAACAATAAAAAAGCATCTGAACCATCTTCTGGAGCTGTTCCTCAAAAGGAGGTTAACAGCAAAGTCAAGTAAGTATAAGATAGCACACTGTACCTACATGTATTTTAATAACAAGAGAATGCTTAATGTAAGACTTGGTGAAACAACATTTGTGTTTGACAGGTCTGGCATAGAAGAAGTCTATAATGAAAGAGAACATATGCTCCAAGAAGCCAGCGAGTTAATGAAAGAGACCTGCTCAACTACACCAGCAAAAAAGAAAAAAGTGGAAAACAAAGCGAAAGATATGATTGAAAAGACACGCAATGAAAGAGAGGCTATGGCACTGCTGGCCTTTTCTGATGTGGATGACACTTTAATCGACCATGATTACGGTAAAATAACTATTCTAAACATTTTTTATACATATTACTATATTATCACAGTTTTAGGTGTTTGTGTTACAGTCGACGTTGACACAGAAAATAATAATAAGTCTGTACAAGATGTTGGAACTGCAAAACAGATATCTGTACAAGATGTTGGAACTGCAAAACAGATATCTGTACAAGATGTTGGAACTGCAAAACAGATATCTGTACAAGATGTTGGAACTGCAAAACAGATATCTGTACAAGATGTTGGAACTGCAAAACAGATATCAGGTAAAACAATGATTAGAATTACTGCTTGAATCTTCAGTAATAGAAACACTAAAACAGATCCACAGGTTATGGAGTATGACCAGTAAATAAAACCAGTGCTCGATATAAAATGTGTAGGTACTTATGTTATATACTTTGATAAAAGCCAGTGCAATGACTAACCTGTCAGTGAACTTCTTTTGTTTAGCACTGCGGTTTTATTTACAGGCCAGACTAACCAAATAGTGGATCCAGATGACTACAGCGTATATAGCATTGCCATGGCATCCCATTCAGAGGGCTACTACTAGATTAAGTAGTTTCTAGTATGTTATACATTACCTATAAAACAGAAAGCTCAAAACTACCTCTTACATTTCATGTTCAAGATTAAATACATTTGTTTATTGTTGCTGTTACTTACTTTTCGATCATTACAGCCCCCCGTACCAAAAGGATGAACAAAAGTAAAACATTGAGAAAAAATGGCCTTGATTACCTACGAGAAAAAGCGGAAATATCACGAGAAATAAGATCTGCAGAACTCAAGTTAGAAGAACAAAAAATGGATAATGAAAAAGAAAAAATTGCAAATGACAAAGCAAGACTTGCCTTGGAGTCTAAAAGGCTTGAGGCAGAAATTCAAGAAAAAAAACATAGGATAGAGTTAGAACAAAAGAAATCTGAGCAAGATGTCGCTGAAAGAAAAAACTTGAGTGACCTCATCAAAACACAACAAAAGCTTATTGAAGCATTACTGACAAAACTTGATAATAGATAATTTGCCATTAAAAAAATAATATACTGGCCTTATATTGAAATAATAATGTTGATGCTAAGGATGGTGAGCACCAAACCAAGTTTGTTGCCGAAAATATATGAAATTGATTCTGCAACTGGTTCCATGTATGAACATAGTAAAACTGTGTAACTTCAGGATCAAAACATATTTCATCCACAACTCCTGAAGAAGTTGATTTCATATATTTTCAGCAACATACTAATTTAGTTTTGAAATCTCTTATTGGGTGCTTGCTGCCCTTATGGTTGTAAAATAAATAAACATACATTCCAAACAAGCTTTATTGGTCTTACAAGTCTATAAAAAATTACAAATTATCATCAAGCGTTACAAGTTAGAAACAACCCAAAATTTAGATGTAAAAGATGGCTAGCGCCATCTAAATTTGCGCTAGAGATAGTTTCTTTGCAAGTTTCGTCAATGACGACGCAGGCAAAGCAGAAACCCCTTACGATTTCTGGTCGCTGACTCAGATGAATTGTACAGAGTACAGATTACCCCGGTACCAACCAACAGTAGCCGGCCACCAGAGTCGTAACGCAAGGCGTTCACAGGACAAAACTAACAATAGCATTTTCTGCAGAACATGCAATAATATAGTCTGATATACTCGTTTGCTTTCCATTGCAAAGAAACTAGTTCTAGCGAAATTTAGATGGCGCGAGCCATCTTTTACATTTACCGTCTTCCCGCTATTTGATAGACCACATTCGCTTGTTTACTTTCCATTTGTCCGCCTTCACGGCTGGACCTGATACAGACCTATACCATACTGATGAGGGCTAAAGAGCCCGAAACAGCGCTGTCTGCGGTTGGTCTTGGCTGCGGCGATGGAAAGCAAACGAGTATTTTCAAACCCAAAATGTCCTCTATTTATCAGTGGCCTATGTAGGTCTCAAGTGAAGGTGGATTTGTATTGAAATACATAGCAGTCTGACTACTATACAGGCATGTATGGCAGTTAGTAAGTAGTACAGCCACCTTGTATAAAGCATCAACGTCTTGAAGTAGCATTTTTTGGTTTTTTTGAAAAATCTACAAAGGCAAATTCTGATATGACTTTCTGAAAACCCCATTCTACTGCTATCCTTAGAACTTTCATAGCAGAATTGAAACTCTGCTGATGGGCAGGTAAATCTTCCATTCTGCCATGAAATGGGTAAGGTTAAATAGCACATCACTCAGCCCATATCCTTGATCACAAATAAAAACAAATCGTCTTGTGTCAAACATGTCTTTTGCACTAATTCTTCAGAGATACCTGACTCCCTAAATATTTCTGGCATCAGCCTTCTCCCGGATATGCGCATTTCAAACTAAACAATAATTCATCAGGACAAATTATGATGGAATTTTATGCAAGTAGTGATACCTTTTGTGTCCTGAATAATACTTCTTGATTTTCAGAGGGTCGACAAATTTTCCTTGCTGTACCATCGATGAAACCCCAACAAGTATTCATAGGTGCTCCTTTATTATGAATAGCCTACAAAAGCAACATTTCAGCATTTTATGAACCAACCATCACTTCAACTATATTACAACAATACAATACCTGTGCATAATACTCAACTTCTCCCTATTAAAACCACTGCAATGAATCAAATTGTTGAGAAGTACAGCATGCTCCTCCATAATCACACTTATTCAATTTATTTATGATTTGTGACAAAAGACTGAGTTGACAACGTGGAACATAGGGACCATATCACACAATCTGTTTGGATA